TCTTCTTGTGAATTGATGGTATTATCCGTAATTTTAATATGTACCGATTCTGCGATGCATCTTTTTTTGTAATTATCTTCTACATGTATAATTTTTCTGTTATCCCAATCAAATTCATGTTTCGGATTATTCACGATATGAGCTGGTATAGGTAAAGTTCTAAATCTAGAGTTATCGGGATCTTCAATCGTTTTTTTTACCGAATATTTATGTTCATTAATTCTAGTTTTTAGAGCTTTTTTGCTTTCGCCTATGTAGTTAGATGTACATTGTTTATATTGAACATTATAAACTATACCTGTTTTTTCATATTTTTTTAATTTATCTTTACCTAGAACAATAATATTGGATAATTTGTTAGTCATTTTTGGTATGCAAACAAAGTTTCTCTTTTTTAGTGTTGATTTGCATTTATAGAAAAATTCTTTTTTGAATGGGATTGGAAAGTATATTGTCTGTTTTTCGCTATTGTTTTTATTCTGTGTAATGTTCTGACTGTATGTATATCTTCTAATGCGATCTTTAATGCACGAATTTACAAATTCTTCAGGATAGTCATTATTATATAATATGTTTTTTACAATAGATATATTACTGTCATGGTGACTTTTATCAGACAACAATATCGATCTATCTACCAAGTTATTAACAATGTTCTTTTTTTGTTTTAATGTGTGGTTTGAGTTATAATTTAAAACACGTCCCGACATAGTTGGTTTTTGGTGCCAGTTTATAATAATTCCATTATTTCTTCTAGTAAGTGATAAGTCTAGAAAATCAATAGAACCATTAACCTCTGTCTCATAGGTAAATTTTAAATGTGAATTATAATCATTAAAAGTTTCAAAAACACGATTAAAATCCATGCTCCTAATGCATATTAATGTGTCATCCACATATCGGTAATAAAAAATTGGGTTGATATTAAATTCTTCCTTCAGAAAAAGTAAACATTGTGTCTCCAAATCTTCCATGACTAAGTCTGCAAATAATGCTGATAAAGGGTCTCCCATCGAAATACCGAATATCTGTTTATAATTAATATTATTGAAACGAAAATATGCATTGTTAAATAAGAAATTAATTGTTGTTATGATTTCGTCGAACATAATCATCGATTTTTTGTGTAATTTTTGGAACCTCTTATATATGCTGTTAAGTATTAGATATCTAGGTATACTCGTAAATAGTGAGACTACGTCGAGAGATACCAATATATGGTCTGCTGGAATGTATATGTTCTCAATACGTTTTTTTAATTCAAAACTATTTTTAATGTGTGATCTAGGTACGTCTATGGATTCTTTAAGAGCCTTGTTGATCAGTTTTGATAGGAAATGTGTAGGAGTATTAACTGTGGATACTACCGGCCTGAGTGGAATATGATTTTTGTGGATTTTTGGAAGTCCATATGCTCTAGCTAGCGTTGAATGGGATTGTGATAGGAAAAATTGGTTAATAAGCATATTCGGGAGATATTTTTTTATGTATCCTTTGTCATTGAAATTTGTAAGGAAGTACTGAACATCTTTTTGCATTTTGGTTAAGGGGTTATTTTTCTCCCAGATTGTGTAGGTACTGTTATCTGACAACAGCGAATTCATTTTTTCAATGTATTCATTTCTGTATAAGCATACGGTTATGTTGCCTTTGTCAGCTCTAGTGAAAAAAAAGACAATATACTTTCCAATTCCATTCAAAAAAGAATTTTTCTATAAATGCAAATCAACACTAAAAAGGAGAAACTTTGTTTGCATACCAAAAATGACTAACAAATTATCCAATATTATTGTTCTAGGTAAAGATAAATTAAAAAAATTTGAAAAAACAGGTATAGTTTATAATGTTCAATGTAAACAATGTACATCTAACTACATAGGCGAAAGCAAAAGAGCTCTAAAAACTAGAATTAATGAACATAAATATTCGGTAAATAAAACGATTGAAGATCCAGATAACTCTAGATTTAGAACTTTACCTATACCAGCTCATATCGTGAATAATCCGAAACATGAATTTGATTGGGATAACACAAAAATTATACATGTAGAAGATAATTACAAAAAAAGATGCATCGCAGAATCGATACATATTAAAATTACGGATAATACCATCAATTCACAAGAAGATACAAAATATCTAAGCAACCAATATTCGAGAATATTCAACATCATAAAGTCTATTTAGTGGTAATATTATAAAATAAACATGGTCATATCTCCCTTTCCTCTTTTGTATTCTCCCACTCTTCATATCTCTCTTGTTGGATCTCTCTATCTTTCTCTTCTATTTTCATACAGCACGAGTGATTTGATATACAAACGTATTCACTCAGTTTTACTTTGCTAGACATGATGTGTTTATACCATATTGACAGTAAATTATTGTATTACTTATTTGATGTTATAATTTTAATTATTGACGTTATATATTGGAGGAGAAAAAAATTTTTAATTTAATCTACATTGCAATATAAAACATATCAAAAAACGTAGGTTTATATTTAATTTAATTAATATATGTAATATTGAAATAATTCACTTTATATTGAACAGATGTATACTGAAGTGGCAATAAATGAATAAAATTGCGAAACGTCTATAAGAAAAACAAGAGTGTAGTTATTTATAGGGATAACTCCTATGATCAAGAAATTGAAATAAAATTATGAAATATCAGGAGTGAAAACATAAGATATATTTATACTCTTACTAATAAGTTAGTATATGAACAAAAAAAACCGGATGTAAATACGTTAACAATTGATTAAATAGCGAAAATGTGAAGTCAAGTTGGTGGTAACCCACGTTACCACAGTGCAACAAAGGGTTAACAGGAAAACAACAAATTATTAACAATAAAGTTATAAATGTAATTTTAATGGCATATAATTATATGTACACGTGTGTACCTGATTTCTCTCGTAATCAAATTATTGTAGGCTAAAATGAATAGCTCGTAGCCAGTCATGTTACAATCCAGTAAGAAATCAAGTATTTCAACACATATATACATATTTTTCATTTATCAACCCTTCCTCATCGATCTTAATTAAAGCTTATAAATATGACTAAGATATTGTATATCCTCTTTTCTATTTAAAGTGTTTTTATCTAAGCCGATGTACAACATAAGAAATCAAGACAGTTCGTTACGTATTAATATGATTTGTTGTCAAAATATTAATGAGCTAAATTGAACCCCCACGTTCAAAAACTAGCTGATTTTGCGTTTTTTTATTTGTTTATTCATTCTCTATTGTTGTGGGAAATCGATGCTGATTTGCATTCCACTATCCAATAGCAAATTTTTCACTCTACAACTTTATTTCTATGAATATTTACCTTAAAAACGACATTTTAGGCATAAATTAAGAAAATGTATGGAAAAAATGGTCCTTTTTTGCTCTTTTCAGCTATAAACATGTAACGGGGTTTTAGATAGTCGTTGCAATATAATATATGTATGAGAGGATATATTTAGCAGATATATATAATATATTTGCTGCACGTTGCAGGCAGTGCAAAGGCCATTCGGTAGTCCAGATCGCCGTAGAGAGAAAGGCTATCCGGCTTTATGGCTCACGGAGACCGTTGCAGGTAGCGTACTAGAGAACGCGTAAGAATGACTAACGATAGGATCGCCAGGAAAATGGAAAGTGAGTAGTGAGAAACTATAATTTGAAGATAGTACTTACAACTCTGGCAAAGCACTCGTACGACAGCCTCGTCGTAATTTTCACTTTCACACTATCCCTAAAGACACCACAGCACACGCACATAATCGAATGTCCCTCGTGGATATCCAGGAGTCAATCGGAAAACAGTAAGGCGATGCCACAAGAAAAGCCAAAAGGGCGAGTCGAAAAGAGTGCATAATATCAGCGCGAAGTCAATCAGCTGATTGCCGCGAGTCCCACACTCTCTTTTTTATTTTTTATCGGCGGCACATGTCTCCACTTGCCAAAAGAAAGCACGAACCGCACATACGCATACACTCTTGCATACACGTAGCTCTCTTTCTGCCTGTAGGCTTATCACCAAATAAATACTTGCTCTCTCGTTCTTACCCTGAATACTCGAGACGGCCTCTGCTGCTAATAATATGGAATGTATGTACACACACACATATATACATAATGAATAAAGGGAAAGAGAGAGACATAATGAGTTAAAATTAAACTCGTTATAAATATTAATAATAAAAGCAATAGAAAATCCGATACTCCAGCATAAATACATCATTATGATGATATTCTTGAGCAATCCCAACAATAAATAGCCCTGTTACTCTCACATCCATGTTAAATCACAGTCCCACTGGACTAATATATGTTTGAATGATTAAAAGTCCATTGGTTTTTATGTAATTGTAAATGTCAAATGAAGCTCTATTTACCAATGAATAGCGATAATCGTCAGTTTTTTTAATTACATTATTGATTCATATGTCTATTGTAATAGAATATGAATAACTATATGCAAACGTTTTAATGAAGATAATGTACATCACAAAAGTAATACAAAAAAGCGCCCTAAGCGCGTTAAATAATGATCGTTAACTAAACAACGGAATATTTTTTAATATAGCCTATTATGAAACTATTAAAAATATCATTAATTTTTTATAATAGTAACTATTTTGCGTAGTTATCAAAATCTATGAAATTATATCGCATTTTATATTTTACTCAAAAACATAAAATAAGTTGGCGTAGTCAAACTTACCAGCGCAAATAAATGTAACAATATAATGCAATATATATTATAATTAAATCTCTTTCAAGGAAATAAAATAATTATTTACTGTTTCGAAACCATTTTCAAGTGTTAATAAGTATCAGAAGTACAATATTATATTGATATGTATAGTGAACTAATAGAGATTACATTTAATTATCTTAATTGGTTGTTATTTTTTTATATTTGTGTTTAAACAATATTATTCAAAATAACTGTTGTTTGTAATAATGCCATAATTAATCGATATATGTTTCATAGATTTGCAATGGTACTTGCTTTGATGAAGAACTACTAAAAGAATTAAGTGGTGCCGCTGCAGATGTAACAAAGGCTCTTAATGATTTGCTGTCTCACATAAAAATAGTTACTTGTGGAGATAAATTAAAGGAGTCAAGCCAAGAAAGTGCATTGGAAACAATATTATCGGCAACTGATAAATTATTTGCTAATACAGGAAGTGCTGGAGAAATGATTCGTCAAGCTCGGATTGTTGGGCAAGCAACTGCACAATTAATTCAAAGTATTGAAGGTGATGCCGAAACACAAACTGACTATGAACAACAAAAAAAACTTCTTACTGCCGCTAAAATGCTGGCTGATGCAACAGCTAAAATGGTACGAAATTTATATTTGACATTTTGTTTACTTATTTTGTAATCATATACAATTAAAAAACATTTATCTTTTTCTGTTTAATTTTTGTTCTATTTTTGTAAAACATGCGAAACTCAAACTTGCCTATTCATTTTAGTATAAATACAATTTTTTCTAGACTTAAAAGGTTTTCTTGTAAAATCGTACCTAAAAAATTCTATATTGTCGTTTATATGCCCCTATAACTTTAAAAATGTATGAAAAATGTCGTTGACTTGTGATTCTAAATTCTGAACAATTGAACGTACACCCTGAAAATATTTATTTCCCTGATTATTGTGACAGTTTTATCAAATAACTTATAACTCATTAAAAGCAATCAAAGTGAGCGCTTAGATAGCTAATTAGCTTCGTAGAGCTAATAATGCCCGAAAAGCGATGGACGCTATTGGCTCACTGCATAGTGAATCCTTGTTCTGATTAGTCGTGTCGAGCAGTTAAGCTTTCGAGATACGCTTCCTTTTATAGTTCTCTGGCTTCCCTAATGATACTTTCTGCTACCACTTTCTTTGGTTATCGAAAACTGAACTTTCAAATCGTGTGGTGTGAGTGCGTTTCGACAGTGAAAGCAAGATTAACTAGAGAAAGCGGTGGCAAAAGGTGATTCCAAGGAAACTGGAGGATAGTAGTATAGTGCATTTCTCAAGGACTCGACAACTTAGTATCTATCGCAAGGATAAGGATTTACCGTGCAAGCCATCACCATCTTAACGCACCAGAGGCAGAATCCTTCTAGAAACTTTTCTCGATTCGCTTTACCGGTGGGATTGCCATCTGTATTCTCTTTCTCTCTGGTTGTTATCATAATTATGACTTATTGTATCCTACCATCCTACCGTCTCATCTAGCAGCTAAATTGTAAAGCAATAAGACTTGTAACGTTAAAACTAGTATGAAAGCCATTGCCAGGTTATTAGCTTATTTATTCAATTGTTTATATTTATTACATCTATTATTATACTAGTTTTCATTATATGTGATTATTTATGACTATTTTAAATGCTTTATGTAAGTGAAATTTGAGCGATGTAAAAGTAGTTATAATTAATGTACAACTGTTGTATAACTTTGTTGTACCTTTTTTGTTGTTTCTTTAACGCACTATATGAGTTCACACTCCATGGTGAAATAAAGCTAACTCAACTCATCTCATTCAACTTGTAGCATTTGCTCCGTGTGAACGAATGACTAATACTTTTGAAAATAGTGTAAATTTAACAAACAATATTATTAATAGACGAGTAACTATAACAATAAAACTAACCAACATCTATCACATACCTAGGAAGGATGACACCAGTTACAAACGATTAACAATTAACAAGACGACAGGTTGAAAAACGATACAAAACAAAAGATCGCGAAGTTGCTCAGAAGAAAGCAAAATTATTAAAAAAAAAAGAAAAAGTTTTTTAAGACCAATAAAAGAGAAAATTCATTTTTTTGCAAAATTAATGATATTTATTATGGAATAATATTGAATGAGTAAAAAAAAATTTGATACAGTTTTTCATCTTTTTGAAGTACCAGCTGTGAAAAAAACAAATTTTTTTAAATCGACAAAAATTTTTGTTCTAAAAAATTTAAAAAAGTATAAAATATTTCACTTTCAAAAACAAACATTTTTTTCTCCTATACATTTTTTTGAATTACTAGAATTTATGGAAATAAAAAATGGTTAAAAAACTGTCACATCCCGGAAAAAAATGTCCATGCGCGCGTCGATTTTAACGAAAATAATTTTTTGACCAGTGATTCAAATAGAGCTTGATAAAAGCTCAATAATGCTCAAGAGTCCGGTCATTGTAGTATATTGATCTATATTTTTTGCGAACAGCGAGATTGTTTTTATTTCGACGCGGAATAACACGTAGATAATAGGAAAAATAGTTTTGATTTCCAAAAGTTTCCGGAACATTATTTTATTAACGATTTATTGCAAAAAAAGGCACTTTTTTTAGTTATTCGCTTATATCTTTTTTCCTAATTATCCTATCGATATAAGTTCAACGGAGTTCCTATCAATATCAACGGAATTCGATTCCTGAGATAATTCTACATAAGGATAAGTATGTTCGAAAATTAAATTTTTTTTATTAATAACAATATCTTGGGTTGTTTCTAAGATTGCCAAAAAAAAAACAAACGCTTATATCTTCTTTAATTTTCAATAAATTTTGTCTGAACTTTCAGGGCCGATTTATCTTTAAAAAATATATAATAGGAAGCTGGTCCGATTATTCGAAAGTATAATTGTGTACGAGCTAGAGCGCGACAAAGATTCAAATTCAAAGATGGTGTACCGTGGCTGTTCTGACCAGATGTCGAAAAAAAGACCAAATGTATCCTAAGAAGCCCGATGAAATCTATCGGTAGAAAAAATTTGATAATTTTTCGATAATTAGTTTCCGAGAAAAAAGGAAAGACTGAAATTGCTTAGTTGTAAAATAGAATTTAACAATGAAGCAATAAACATATTGGAATCTAATAAAATTCATTCGATTGGCAATTGAAAGACCTTTCATTCTAAAAAATAAAGGATCTTTCTACGATAATTAGGAGCCGAGATATTATTATTTTGGTTTTTAATCCATAACTCATCTTGTTTATAACTTTTTTCAAATTTAATTGCTGATTTCGATTTGAGAAAAATTTACTTATACACTAAATTTTTTAAGCTATGCAGGATTTTCATTTCTATAAGCAAAGTTAATTGTAACAATTGGAGCGCGCCGAGCGGCTGCGCGCACCCACCGCGGCGGTAGTGGGGGTCAGGGGAATGATCCTCTCATCACGGCTTCGAGGCTTTCGAGCTACCTTAGTTGCATAATTAATTTACACCACTTCTACGAGTGGTATTTCTCGTAAATATGGTAGAATTTTTTATTTATTTTTTTTTAAGTATTTTTTTCTATATTCTTATTCTTTCATCAGAATTTTATTGAATATCATTTATTCTGCCCAATTTGCACAATAAAATATGAAAATTAATATTTATTGAAATTTCGTATTTTATAATATGAATTCCATACAATTTTACACCCATTTTATGTAGTTTATAAAAAAAAAATTAGTTTATAAGACGAAAAAAATCACAATTTCCACTTAAATTTATCTATTTCACTCCAGCTCATACTCACTTTGCACCTGTTTATCAAATGTTCAATAGTACCGTAATCTCTTTTACATCAATAATTTACATAATCTGTCTTTCGCTTTTAATGCCAATATTTATTGCATGTTTCTAAGTTTTCATACCTTATTCTCGCAATTATACTAATATCGCTGTTCTTCCTACATCTACCTAGGTATTTCGGTATATCTTTGGACATCACAACTAAGGTTCTCCATTTGCAACTATGGTACATAAACCTATTGAATTGCGAAATTTTTTTCTTTCCACACTGTACGCATCTATCTCTCCTAGTTTTTCCTTTTCTTTCCAACATTATTTTACAAGTCTATTCTCTTCCATACTTACAATCTTTTGTTTATACCTTAACGCTCTCACTCGCCATGCGTTACATAGTTTTTCCACGCTAGTTTCCCTTTACATGATGTATCTCTGTGTTCAAATCCAGCTTCAAAACACATCTAAAATAATCTAACTGAATTCTTTCTGGTTTTTTCCGTTCTTCCCACTCCCATATTTCATCACCATAACCCATAACACTTTTAACTAGGTAATCAAATAACATTTTCCTTCTTTTAAAGTCATTTTTGCATCTTCTCTCCCCCAGTCCCCACGCTCTCTTTGCTGCCATAATCCCTTTTTTTTATTTTCTCCATGTAAGTTCTGTAACTAGTATCGCTTTCAAAAGTAAACCCTAAATATTTAAAAGAATTTAGCTCTTCAATCTTCTCTCCCTTATACGACAATTTTTCTTTTTTGCTGTTTCTACCTTTATTGAAAACTACCATTTTAAATTTCCCTACTCTCAAGATTTGATCCCTTTCTTCCAAAAACTTTTTTAATGTTCCCAGATTGTCTATTATTTTTTATTTGTTTAGTTCTACAAGAACAAGGTATCAAAATATGCCAACGACCATATCCTCGTCCCTTCAATAACTATACTTCCTATATATCTATTTTCAAATTCTTTCTCCAATGCTGCAATATATAGACAAAACAGGATCGGACTCAGAACACACCCTTGTCTCACGCCCTGCGTACTCCAGAACCGACTCGAGTAATTATTGTCGACCTTCACCGTAGTAACCGTTTCTAATAGATTTTCTTTAACCTTTCAATCATGTATTCACTAACTCCTTCATCCAGCACCTTCCATAGTTTTGCTATTATAGTTAATCTATTCATAGTATCGAATGCAACCGTGAGATCCACAAAGTATGAGTAAATCTTTCTTTTCCTCGCCTTAGCTACTTGCACTTCGTGGTTCAGTACATAAATATTGTCAGTTGTCGACCGGTCTCTTCCAAATCTAGCTTATCCTTCCAGGAGGATTCCTTCTCTTCTACCACTTTCACTAGTTTATCCTTTAATAATTTCTGTATAAACTTTATATGCCGTCGGTAATAAGGATATCCCTCTATAATTCTTTACATTCTTTAAATCTCCTTTTTTATGTAGTGGTACGATAACTGCAACCTTCCAATCCTCCGGTATACCTTAACCTGTCCATATCTTCCTAATCAAGAAGACCAGTCTGTTATCTACTTATAATTAATATTATAAGTACAATTGTATATTATTGTTATAATATTCTTAATTATAATTATTAATTATAATTATGTATTATAATTATAATTTTGAATATAATATACTCATAATTGTAATTATAATACTCATAATTATAATAATTTTATAATTACTTACTCTGTTAACAGCTCTTGTCTACTAAATGTCCACACTTCATTAGGGATCTCATCAAAACTAGCAGCTTTCCTCCTTTTTAGCGATTAAACAGCCTGTAGTATATCTTCTTCCGTTAAATTTTCCG